AATAGGGTCTGTATTCAAGTTCATGCTTCAGACAAGATGTGCCCTGTAAGGATACTGTACTTGCCAGCTCCACAGGAAATCATAGCCACCCAGGGTTTCTCCAAGTGCACGGATACAACCATGACAAATGCTCAAAATATTATCACGATAGAAAATTTTTTATAACAATACAACAATATAACAATACAAGCTGAGCAGTATAAGCATGTGTCCCTAACTAGATGCAAACCTCTGAATTGTATTTTACCAAAGTAATGTGAAAAGTCCCTCACTACATCAAAGGTATATTTTTGGCTTCCCTCTATTTGACTGGGAAATGGGAAAAAAACCCTGGTAGGTGAGCACTTTAATTCAAGACAATTTACAGTTGTTTGGGTAAACCTACAGTAATGATTGAGAATAATTGTTATTTCACAAAATAGGTTGCGTGACATTATTTCCCAGAAAAAAAACCAAGCTTGCCAAGATAAACTTATCTAGCGTTAAGTTTATCAGATTTGCTATCTTGGAAAAAGAAAAATGAAAAAAAAAAAAGAGTGCCAGGAGTGCTTACATAAGGCCTCTCTAAGTTGTATTTCCAAAAATGAGCTCAGTGGCAAAATTAGGGCTTACATGCCTTTTTTTTGCATAGTAAACACAACTACGGGCACAAAAAAATTTATAATTCCTACAAAAGACAGTGCCACTGCACTGCTCTGAGCTCCAGGTAAGTCCTTTCTTATTTCCCTGTGACACAGTTGGTTTAAGAACCATATCTGTGTCCTGTCTGCCAACCTGCAAAAAGAACAGGAAGCTGTGAGAAGGTAATTTTTCTGTTCGAAAATGCTGGTAAGCAACAACAAGCTTATTAACTTCACAATAAGACTCATATTTTCATTATAAATTTCATAATATATATGAAATCCTGTGTAAATATACCAAATGTTCAAGTAGCCACTCAATAAAGTACTTTGTCTAACTAATTCAATTCAGCTTTGTTTTTTAGGGAACTTCAGGTCTTCTTTAAATCAAATAAAATCAGAGCTTAAGTTTATAGATTCTCTGTTAAAAACCAGGAAATTAAGTTTGACCTTGAAGTCTAGGTCTTCATTAGGAGACTTTGCGAAGACTTTGTTATACCCTGTGGAATAGGTTCTGCATGAATTCACATGTAAAGTGAGTTTCACAAAAAGATTGCATCTTGATTTAAGAAATTCAGATGGAAATCCATCATAGTCATTGATCAGCTGTGTGATCACAGTTACAAGCTGTCTGTCTTCTATTTGAAATTTGTCTGGCTTTGACTTGCAGCTATTGAACCTGTTATATCCTAGATCAAAGATACGTCTATGATGAAATTTCTGTTCCCCATGAGGTTTTCCTCAACTGTGATCAAATCACCCCTTAAACCTTCTCTTTGATATGCTAAGTAGGTTGAGCTCCTGGTCTATCTTGGTATAAAGCATGTTTTCCAATCCTTTAATCATTCCGCTCTTTTCTGAACATCCTGCAGTTTTTCAACATTCTATGTAAATTGAACTTTATATAGTATTCCAGTAGCAACTGCAGTACTGCTAAATGCAGGGGTAATACTGCCTTCCTGGTCAATAATTTATTTATGCGAACAGGATACTATTTAGCTTTTTGGCTGCAGAGTTTTAGCCTTAATTTGTCAGAGTCCTGGCTGCTCCACAGTGCCTCAGCCGCTCTATTGCTAAGGGCTTTTGAATTGCATTTCTTTATCCTGCCTCTCAGTTGCAACTCTGCAACTTTTCACCTAAGTTGCTGTGGCAGTATTTTCTAGAGCCTTTGTGACACTATTTTTCCTTTGTTCTCATGCTGTTTTTCATGTTGCTGTTATTGTCATGACGTTACACCGCAAACACATTATTACTCATGGGAAGCAATTGTCTCTGGTGTTGGATTCACCCCTGTTTCTCCCCCTTTTTCCTACTCCTTGCTTGTAGCTTTTGGTTTATATTAGATGACCTAATAACACACATGTATGAGTTTAAAAGCTAATCAGCCATACAGTACCCTCCCTGATTCAAAGTGTGCTCCAATTAGTGCTAATAGCACTGTAAGCAGGAACAACCTGTAGGGAGTTTGAGAAGTTGCTAATGAAAAACACATGGTTGCTATGGAAAGAGTATTACAGAGTGATCACTGCTGCACTGCAAAGGGTACCCAGGGGAGGAGACTCACCTGGGGACCCCACCGCATCTCTTCACAGCTGGCTACTGTAGTTAGTTTTCCCTTTCCTCTTCCCTTTTCTCCCTGTCTCTCCTCTTCAGTTCTGATTTTTCTCCAAAAGTACTTTACACTGTTAGAGGTTATGTATGCCATCAGCTACAGCCTTTATGCATGTGAACCTGTCTCAACAGGAATTGTGCAGCATTGATTTTTAGTATTAAGGATCTCAGATTTGTAATCTTGCATTTAAATGTACTGAAATGCATTTCTTTGTATCTGTTCTCAGTTTGCCAGACTGCTCTATATGAGCAAAAGTGGCTGGAAAATCACAGTCTGGGAAATTATCAAAAGGGAAAGATGCATCAAAACAACTTCTGAAGAGGTTTGTCTGAGATTGCTACTATTCAAGGTTTTAACTAATCTAGACGATGGAAGAACACTTATCAAATTTGCAAATGATAGTGCTGATAAGGATGGTGGTGAGTTTCAGGACACAATCACGCTTTAAAAGATCCAGGACAGTTGGAGAGATGGTCTGAAAAAAATAGGGTACTGTTCAGGCTGGAACAATGAACTGTGCAAATACAAAGTGGGAACTCAATGAGGTAAAAGTCTGTAGAAGATTGAGGAGGCAGGTAGACCACAAGCTGAACAGGATGTAACAATGTTACAATTGTAAACAATGGCTAGTTCTAGCCTAGGGTATATAAAACAGAAGTATAAGTTACTACGCTACCACATACTCCTTCTTTTCTACTCAGTATGCCTCGTGTGGAGGAGAAATACCGAGATGTGGCTACTGCACTTTAAGACAGATGTTTACGAACAAGAAAGGATCCAGATGAGAGATCAAAATCTAAAAAATAAATTGTAGGATAAAAGGGTTAGTGGTCTGGGTTGCTTAGCATACAAAAAGAAGATTGAAAGAGGAGAGAACAGAGCATGGTGACATAAGAATAGTCTCTAAATACCTTAGAGACAGTGATTACTGACAGGGAATAATTTGGTTTTGATGCCTGTGGTGTAGTTGATAACGAGTTTAAATTACAGCAGAAAAACTTGTCAGACCCTAAAGAACCCGTTTCTAATAATAAGGATAGTGAAGCACAAGAATGGATAGATGACGAAAATACCAAGGACTCCATCACTGGAGTCCTTAGTGAATGTCAGAAGTCTCTGACATCTGTCAGAAATAACATAGCAGCCTGGTGCTGATCTTGCTTTGGAGTATGGAAAATGTTTAAGACTATCAAGAAATTTTAAGAACTCTTTTGGACCTCCTCCTGTCTCAGGGGAGATGTAGATTTGGCAGAGGGAGCCGAGAAAAAGAGCTGTATCAAGCAGAGAGACCACGCTCTTTGTTCCCTCTTCCATGCCGGCCTTTGGAGCAGATCTATGAGAAAGAGAAAACACTTTGCCTGCTTCGTCTTAACTAAATGTATCATCCCTTCTCCTACTTATTTCTAAGAACTGGGTCAGCCACAAATCACTTCAATAAGAATTATGCTGACAATACTTACTTTCATCTTCAATGTACCCCTTCCAGTCAAATGGAGTCACTGTTGAATTAACCAATGTACCATTTTCACCTATGGTGCTGTTTAGCTGGGACGTAATATTTGTTTCCAGAGTAAAATTTTCTGGAGGCCACTGCAGGCATTTATTCCTCAAGTTGCCCATGAACAGCTGAAGCCCTATTAGTGCAAATACACTCAGACAAAATACAGTCAGGATCATAACGTCCGAGAGCTTCTTCACAGATTGAATTAGGGCTCCCACGATAGTCTTCAAGCCTGAAAATGCAAAGGAACTTTTATTCTGATGTTCAAAACTCTTTTTAAAGCATAAAAAGCACCGGGAGACAGTGTCTCCCAGTAAAGTTATAGATTTCATGCAGAAGCCCAAATAAATGATCATAATGTCTGTGAAATAACATTTTTGTGAAGAGCTTTTTCACTTGTGAAAATGAATAAATAGCTGAAATTTGTGTTCATTTGAAACCGTGAATGGAATGAGTTGCATATATTTCAAAACACTTGTTTTGAAACACTTTTTTTATTCATGCTCTACATGAATCTCACATAAAAGTCTTCTTTCTTTTTATTTGTGAATACCTCTTGCCCCAAACCTTTGCTACTATCAGTTTTATAACATACCAGATTTAGAAGACAGTAGTAAAAAACCTGTTTAAAATTTAATGCTATAAAACTGGAGATGGTTTGGAAAATCATAGAATTTTAAGATAATAAATCCCCCATGCAATGCCCATGCTATTCTTTATTATCTTATTCCTTCATCTTCTTACTAAGTCAACATTTTGAACAGTTCTATTTTTAGACACAAATATTCACAACAAATACCACATAACATCATGTAGGTAAGAAACACATGGGTAAGAAACTTCAGGGTTACTGATATTCGTTGAATGTGGAGAAGAAAGCTTGACATCATACGATGCAACCACACACGCTGTGTACTGCAATGTCTCATGCAAGAATCTGTTAAACTCAAAGGCTGATTTCAAAAGAAAAGAGCTCATGTTAAAAAGCAATGAATCAGAGATTTTAGTGAATTCTAATATCTTCTGATTCCTGCTTTTTTGTGAAAGAAATAAGACTTATGTTTAAAAAATATTAATTCTGTTTCGGTGAATTAAAGTCAGCCTCAGTGTTTAACCTAGCTCTCACCTGGAATGACTGATATTGTTTTCAAAGCTCGGAGAACTCTGAATGTTCTCAACGCTGAGACATTGCCCAGGTCCACAAACTCTGTCACATATCTGTAATAGGGGAGTTCACACACAAACACAATGACAGGATAAAAAGGAACAGTTGGGAGGTACAAGGGGCCTAACACCTTACACCAGTTACTTCTTACCTGGGATTACAGAAATAGTTTTCAAAGCTCTCAATACTCTGAAAGTTCGAAGAGCTGAAACATTGCCTAGGTTTACAAATTCTGTTACATACCTGTAGGATTAAATCACAGTTATTCAGAATTTAGGCAAAGTTTATGCTACTTACTTGGGTCTTTCATCAAGACCTCTTTGGCGTTTTTAGCAAAAAATTAAATAGCAACAGTCAGAGGTTTACCTTTCACTGCAGTTTGCCTTGCATTAATATGCTTTCAGAGCCTTCAGTTAAATTAAATGTCTCTGAAGTGAATCGCAGTGATTTAACTTTGAAAGCCTAAAAGTTATCTAGACTAGATTGGTAAGTTTGGAGAATGAAGTCAAAGGGATGCTCCTTTTCTGCTCAGAGAAAAAAATGCAGGACATGAAATTAGCCTCTCTAATACTAGCTGTACTAACGGCTTCTGCAGTATTTATGTTTACATCAAAATATGCATATTAGAATGTGAAAATTGTTTTAGACAAAAGTAAATTCATACAACAATTTAAATTTAATGAAATTGATATGTATCGATACTAATTTCATGCCCTTTTGCCCTTCACTTTCAAAGAAAAAAGCAAAAAACAAAAACTTACGCAAAGGTAATGACAGTGAAATCAAGCCAGTTCCATGGATCTCGAAGAAAAGTAAAATCTTCTAAGCAAAAGCCTCTTGCAATGATTTTTATGAGTGACTCAAATGTGTAAATTCCAGTGAACGTATACCTGGAAAACATAGGAAAATTTAACCAAAATATGTAGCAACACTTTACACCGGTATTCTGACAGAAACCTGATGATCAAATGAAAGAGTTTTCTATTTCAAAACTGGAAAAGAAATACAGTAAACAAGCAATTTCTTCTATAATGCATTATATTCATCACATAAACTTGTGTATTTGCATGCATTAGTTGTGACATGGTGTTGAAGCACAGCAGTCCTGATCTTATCCATAAATCAAAATAAATAAATCCATCAAATAAATGACATATTAAAAATTTATTGATGACACTCAGTTTAAAAGTATGCAACACTAGATCTGTTACTGTTAACTAAGCAAGTTGTGAGCATAAGTTACTGGATACTGTCTGAATCATTAACATCTAAACCATCTAGTATTAACTCTAAAAAGGGAAGAATGCAAGCATGCACTGAATTCTCACTTTAGGAATACTTTTACTTATATGCTGCCCCTAACTGATGCGTACAAATAGATGGCCATGGTTCTGCTATTGATGCAGTGGCGTAAAGGAGGGGTAAAAACATCGGATAGATGCTAAACCATAAAATGAGAGAAAACTAGTGGAATCTCAGTAGAATACTATCTGTAAACAACTTTCATTTTTTCTACCCAATTGCTCTACTAGAAGGAGATTTAAATAATTATTCAACATTTCTACATAGTTTAGAGAGGAAATAGTGTCTCATGATAGTTCCTGCCAGCAGACATGACTGCAGTTACTGGCACGCTGACTTCTAAAAGAACAGTCAAAGATGTCTTTAAATAACATATGCAACTTACTCTACATTCTTTGTCCAGTCCGGAGGGTTACTCATGGTCATAAATACACAGTTGGTCAAAATAGTGCACATGATAAGCATGCTGAATAATGTAGATAAAGTCAAGGAAAACACAACAGTAATTCATACAATATCACATCAGCCATATATCTGAAATTCACTAAAATATCGCCACTTACACAAATCTTTTAGACTTTGATAAACATGGCACATGTATTTTACTTAACCTGGTAGTTTTCACTTTAGCACATTAAATTTTAACATTAGTCTTGATTTGTTGATGTCCTTGTGTTTTGTTTTCAGCTGATACTGAAAGGCAAAGGAGATCGCTCTCACTTGTCTGGGAGTAACATGTGCTGAGTAACAGCCAAAACCAGAATAACTTGGAGAATACTATTTCACTTAAGTACCTGACATGACTGAATAAGTCTTTCACTTCTACAGTTTTGGTACTAAACTCAACAGCTGGCATGTGCAAGGCAAAAAAAGTTTATCCTATTTACCACGAGTCAAAGTTGCAGAGAAAGCACACACCACCCCAGCACCCAGCACAGCCAGTCTGTCAAAAACACCGAATGAAACACAGAATAATGTTTTTAATTGCTGAAGTGACTGTTTCCCTATCATGTTTCCCTATTCCCCCATGTTTCCCTATCACTCGCTTAGCAGTACATGCTTCAGTCAGTGAAACAGAAATCCAAAGAGACCTCACAGATTAAGGTGAATAATTTGCCAATATTATTCTGGGCCTCTCTCAAAACATGTTAGCAGCAAAAGAAGTATCTCTTGTTCTACCACTGCTGTAATTTGAAAATGGTATAATAGTACCTTGTGGTTAATTGCTTGAAAAGCATGGAAAACTGGTCAAGGTTTGAATGAAAATTGATTTTTATTTAGAGTTCCAGCAAGGACCAATTAGGTATTCTGGGACTATGAAACCCAGACTAACAGCTCAAAGGGGCTTGTAGTGGGGAGGTGGGACAGTCTACTGGGGCTTCATTACACCCAATGCGATGTTCTTGGTTTACAAGATCACTGGATCTACAAACAGTGCGGTCCTTTCTTTTTCATGGCAATAAAGTAAACTCAATTATTTAAACATTAGGAAATACTGAAGTAACCGAACTAGACGAAACCCTGACTCAAAATGGCCACACGGTGGCGGCAACAAATAAGAACCGCTACACCTTCATGCAAAATGGTGAACTCAACCCTAATTTTTCCTCTAGTCATCTCTCTAAATGACGTGTTCCTTAAAAATAGTTGCATCAACATAACTGGCAAAGAAGCTAGATTAAACTGAAGAAAGCCATTTACAAATAAACTTGTATATAAGAGCAGAGGATATTTTTTTTTTTCTTAATCAAGTATATAGCATTTTGTTGTTTGGGGTACATTTTTATGCCCTGGAAACACACACACAAAAAATGCAACCACAAAACAAAAAAAACCACCAACCTTTCACTCTAGGTGAAGGAGGAATAGGAGAAGTCACATCTCAGCCTAAACTTTGCAGAAAATTGGTGGAAACATTAAGATCATTGCTTACAGCTGCTGAACAATTCCAATTTGAGCATATCTTTTCAAATAAACATTCAAATCACAGGGAAGGATTTAACTGCCTGATTCCCACAGACAGGTGCGTGGCCTTTGTCTGAATGCCTGACCAAGCAGTGGATATCATGATATCTTTCATTAAGTGACTTAACTCATTTTGAAGATCATGTTGCCATACAAGCTCTTTACAGTAAAAGTCGTTGTTCAGTGGCTTAGAATAAATGATTAGAACGCTTTACAATGCTTATCCTCACAGTCCACAGACAGCTTTAAAGGGTCCAACAGAATATCTTTGGGAAATTCCTTCAAATAAAGAGAATCCATTTTGGTAGTTGAAAAACTTGAAGATGCCTGGCTGCAGCTTCAGTAGTCTCGTAAAACAGTTAAAGTAGTGGAACATCTTCTTAGGAGAGATGTGCATTATCTGTTTACAGCTAGGTATCTTTCATAACAAAGGCCACAGGTAGATCCTTGCACATATTCGCTCTGTACGTAACTCGCCACATCTGTGAGCTGCATAGCCAAAGTGCTGTTTACTCTCAAAGGGAGCAGATGCTCAATAAGGGCTAACATATTTTGAAATCTAAACTCTGGCCATGTTTTTCCTTATGGGAATCTCAAACATAACTGACCCATTCAAAGTCTGTGCATCTCTTCCTTCTTCTCCTACTTTTCAAGTGTTTGATTTACAACTTCAACATTCCCTTAATTTACTGTCTTATGTTCTATAATAATTCAATTATACACATCTGTAAACAATTCTAATATGTGATGACTTCTTAATGGAAAGGTATTGTCTTTTTCATGCTCTTCCCATATAGACAAGCAATAGGATTTGAGGCGCTATACAGCCTCAAGCTAATGAATTATTGGAGCAGCTGATGCCTCTTATCGCCTGTGTGGACTTGGAAGATGAAGATTGGAAAAAACAAATGCTGCCAATTGGTTTCACAGATACCCGCTGGCAGTCAGGCCACACTGAGTAACTCCTTGCATTCTGCAGCTCCAGCCACCGCCACCTCCCTTCTTTTTTCTGTCTGCTCAACCCCCCCACTTCTTACATTTTCACCCTTTCCTATTCATTGCCAAAGTATGTCCACTTCCCATCGCTCTTGTGTTGCCCCCTCAGCTCTATGCTCTACCTTAACTCGAGTCTATCAGGCAAAAGGGAGGGAGGGAGGGAGGGGGGGAAGGAGGCAGAATACTAGGATGTGAGTCAGCAGAGCATGAGAGAAACTCATGCTGTTACCAGTTCCTGTATCTGGTATTGCAATAGGTACCAGCAATGAGAAAGAACAGTTGCAGGGAAAGTCTCTGAGCACTGGGAAGAGACACACCTTCTTTGCAGGTGGAGAAAATCTGACCGTGTGTCTGGGCACATGTGATCAGAGCACCCTATGCAGAGGTTCAGAGAATTTGGAGGATGTACAGATGAACGTTTCCCAACTAATGTGCCAATTTCTTTGTGCTCAACACACATTCTTTCACACTGAAAGGCATAGTTCTGTTACAAAGGCCAAAAACACCCACCTCAAAACATGAGGGCAGTAGAGCTATTTGATAAAAGTCTGAGGATTATTAAAAATAATAAGCAACATTACCCCCTAATCTTTTCCTTACAAGTGGCTCACCTTGCATAAGCAGCCGAAATCTAAACTGCATTATGGAACATATTATGTGGTTCTTTGTTAAACAAATTCATATTTACAGTGTTTGTACTACCCTGAATTAAAAAAAAAAAAAAGAAAAAAGAAAAAAAAGAACCTATGCATCTATTCTTATGTCTAAGATAAAAAAACAAACCCAAACCCTACTCTATATCTATGATAAAAATAGTTCATCCCATACTTGGCTGTTTGGAAAAGAAATCAGTCCACATAGTGAAAAGAAACCTCCTCCTATAATAGAGCTAAATTACACGATCACACAATCACTTTAGTAGACAGAAGGAAAAATATTGGAATTGCATATTGTTTATTAGAATTGCTTTTGTTCGGACTGCCATCAAGACCAGCTGGATACTCTTTGAACACAATTAGGAGGAACTTAAAAGCAAGACCAAACTCAGTAATCAGTACACCAGTGAAAAAACATTACCCACAACTAGCACAGATGCAGGGTTGGAAGGTACTGCAAATCAGAGTCTCTAACTTGAATGGATGAACATTCATTAGACACTTGAACCTGACAGTATTTAGCTACATTTTCTCACCATCACCACCACTGTGTCTGTAGGTCTCTCTCAGGTCCCTTAGCTCCTGTCCCCAAATGCTTCCTGACTCCTCTCCAGACACCTTCCTCCCCTTCTCTCATCACTTTAACTTCCAGGGAGATCAGAGAAAAAGATCTGAGTCAGCAGCAATCAGCCTTGTTTCTCCCTTTTTCCAAAGACCTAGAAGATTCTGCCAGCAGTCTCTAATAATAAAGCTTCTGCCTTTGACTAACTGTTCAATGTTAAAAGTCTCACTGTCACACTGAAGTTTTCATTTGATGACTACTTTTTCCCAGTCTTGGGTTTTGCAAGAAAAGCGTAGCAAAACCTCACCCGCTAGAAATTCCCATCAACCTGTTACGGATATCAGGCACCAGTCCCACATGCCAGTCTAAAACTTTACCTTGTGCACTATCGGTTACGGTCCCCCAACCTGTCCACCATCTGCACATACAGATGCTTTGCAAACCACCTGCAGGACTGCTGCCTATGCTTTCTGGCAATAGATTAAATTTGGCAGAGGCTTATGGTGCAACTGGGCAGGTTTGGGAATGTGAGATTCAGCATGCATGAACCAGGCTTCCAGCCACACTGCTGCCACAGACTATAAAGCTGATCTTGAGGGTGGCCTCAGAAAGACCCCTAAAAGGCAACATAAACATACCCTTGAGCTCGCTGCTCCCGAGCAGTTGCATATCTGCCTAATTGCTTGCAAAACTGAGAGCTCTTCTAGACTTTGTGAGCACAAACTGCATTTTTTTTTTTAAGAGGTAATTATTTTATGAATAGGCTTCATAGTGCAAAAACGGATTTGGAACGCAAAAAATTTCAATGTTAAAATAAATCTGAAGAAACTTTTCTGATAAATGGGTCAAGATGGATTCTTGATTTGTAGATTTGTACAGCCGAAGTATTGAAATTCAACAGAATAGCTAAAATGTGTTTGTACAATATACACGTATTTTCTAGTATTTATAAAACCTTACCATAAGTCTTCCACTGTAAAATAAAAAAAAAAAATTAACAGCCTTTACAAAAGGAAAACAGTTATTTACAAAGAAATAGAAAGAATTATGATTTTTCTTAATTTCAGTGTGTAACATTTTGAACCACCATTGAAAAAGGATATGAATGTACCAAAATTTTAATAGCTATTTTTCTAAGAGGATTGAAGGGAGTTAAAATGTACAGGGCAGAGGTGGCACTGAATCGGAAGATTGCCTTCCCTTTATTCAATACTATAAAGGTCTGAAAAAGAGAAAGAAAAGACATTTTATAAGTATGTATTCACTATATTTTAAAACTGTTCCTAGTGACCAGTCAGAAAAAATGTAACGTTTTGAATAGCTAATACACAAAAAACATGACTCATTTTTAAAATAAAACTTATTTCCAGTACTTACCTGATGTACCTGACATATGAAAACATAATTCTAAATACACAACATTCAATTTATTAACATTTTTATAATACTTCTTCATTAAACAACCTCAGAGGAGTAATATGATACATTTACGTGATGGGTTTCTTGTAAAAAATGTGCAGAAATTATTAAATATAATTTTATTTATGCTTTCCCATAGAAAACTTTCTGTTCCTGTTTGAAATACCATAAGCAGGGAAACCTTACCTGTGGATGTTAATGACGTATTAGTAAGAGAAATCCTTACAGAAACTGATTTAATAGACTACCTGTTTGTTTGTGGGTTTTTTTTTATTCTACTCTGTTTCTTGGTCTTCAACGCTAAGGAGAGAGGGAAATAGCAGTAACACATATAGCCATGATTAGGTAGATCTCTAACGACTGTGGGGGCATCTGAATACACCTTACCAGGGGACAGCAAGAGATACATCCCAGATGATCGTCCTGCACAATTGTGGTTTGCAGGTATGAAACTTTCCAAGAACATACAGAACTCGTTAAATTTAAATTTTAACAGCTAAAGAGCCTATCAAATGTAGAGAAACTTAAAGGCATGCAAGCCTTACTTCAGAGAATTGTAGAAGACTCTGTAGGCTGAAAGCTTGTCTATTTTTCTCAAATAAATCCATGAACCAAATATAAATGGTATGAGAACAAATGCTACAAGCATTGCTTTGCTTCCACTGTAGGCCATCATGGCTGCAACAGCACTAAAACTAAAGCACGGGAAATGCGGACTGTCAGGTTTCTTTGTGGCATTAAGGTGCTCTTCAACTGCAAGATCAATCAGGAAAGAATGAAAAACACTCCAGAAGGCAGGCTCAGTAACTCAGAAGAAAGCTGCATGCAGCGGAAGGGATGATGCAAGGATTTTAGCCTAAAATCAAACTGAATTAAAGGTATTGAAGAATCTGCCCAAGAGAAATGTCCTAAATTGCTTTTTTTCGTGTTGTTAGAGTTATGTATTTCATAAATAAGCTATGATAAAGCCTCCTTGTTTTTTCATTACATTGCTGATGAAGTGAGCTGTAAACTAGAATGCCAGTGGAAGTGTGGGAAATGCTATGTTGGTCTCTTCTGGTGTCTGTGACATCGAGCGTTGCTATAAGACTGTAAGCAAGTGGACTACAAGGCTATTTCTGGGAAGGACGGCAGACAGAGAAAATATGCTGAGGAGGTTCAAGAAGGATGATTCTTCCGTCAACTTAGATTTGGGAAGTTTGGTATGTATAGACCATGAAGTACAGATACAAATCTCTAGGAGCACCCAGGAAGCGGAGAGAAATGTGGAGATGAGGGTTCCACCAGTCTATGACAGATACCAGGTACTGAAGGCAGAGGAGAAGCGGGGATCAAGCCCTGAGGAAAAGCTGTCCCAGCCCCAACTCACTTGCTGGCTTCTTCCCTGACCTGTCTCTCCATCATAGCTCTACATGGCACACTTTCGTATACAGACCAAACCCCTTAAGACTAAGGAACATTAATAGTGAGACTTTATATTATCTTGAATACAAACTCAAGACGCATAAGAACGGTATAAGACATGCATTTAATTTCCCCACTTCTGCACAGAAATGGAGAAACTGCATATGAAACTGAGGACAGTGGGATAAACCCTGAGCTAATGTTTCCAAATTACACTTCCAGTTATGGATTACAGATAACAACAACCTTCACAGCGTATCTGCAGATGACCTGACCTTAAATGAAGCTTTCATTTTAAATACTGAAGCAACCAAGCCGATGAATGATTTTTTGGCACAATGTTTTAAAGCCTCACACCCCAAGGGGGAAGGTGAGTTTCCCCTCCCAGGTCTGTCCCCAGCCCCCAGGACTCACAGCTAAGAAGCCTCCAGCTCACGCTCTCAGCTTTTGTAGCTATGAGGTAGTTGACTAAATACATTAAATATCACACTCCCTACTAACTTTGTATCTAAGACTACACCACCTACGTTTAGTCAACCTACATTTTTTAAAAAATCTTTGAACACGAGCACATTAAACATACATCTCTTTTCTAATGTGCCTTATGGAAAATAACAGCATGCTGGCACAGCTCCAGTTTCAGTTGGAAGCTGCTGCTATTTTAGCTGTTCTACTTTCTGCTGCCCTGCAAAAGCAGAACCAGCAAGACATAAATTCCCTACCTCAGTTTTAATTTTTTACTCAAGGTATCTTTGTGACTGGAGCCTTCAGAATGACTTTGTTGGTCGTCTGACTTCTAGCCTTAAACATGAACTAAAATTGTATCTTATCTCTGAAGAAGAATTTTAATAAAAAAAATTACAGATAGCAGCTGATATCCAACCCCATGTGTAAGCTTCCCTCCTTGGTAAGCCTGTTATATCTCACTCCAGTCTCAACCCAGATGCAAGCCAATGCGTAGGCAGTGTGGATGAACGTGAAGTATTGTACCCAAAGCTGCCAGGGTGAAGTAGACATACACTGAGAAAAGCTAAATAAATTCTAAACAAATTGTAAGATTAAGGTTCGTATATGAAGGATTATGTATACTTTTCAGGGCTTAGGTTTTATAAAGTGCTTTAATAATTTTTTAAAGGCAGGAAACCTGCTCACACTCAAAGTAGTCAAGTGTGAATATAAATTCAAAGAAATCCCTAGAGAGAAGTCCCTGATTTGCCGCTTTTGCATCTGTACCCTGGATCCCAGTTCTGTAACTTCTGTCATATTTGATACAAACCCAGAAACTGCATTCTTAGCAGGGCAAAGAAGGAGGAGGAGGATTTTTATAAGATGCAGCTAAGAGGGAAAAGTCCACACCAAACAAAAGATACAGTCTCCATGGACCTCTCGGTACAAAGAGTTCCCAAAACCTTGTTTCTCCTCTCCTTACTCCTAGTTAGCTTTAAAAGTAGTTTCTCGAAGTCTACGTTTAGCAGGCTGATTGCTACTCCATTGCATTTCTATTTCCTACAGTTAAATAAACACCATCTAAAACTTCGTAAGACCTCTGAAAGGCAAGAGGTGACATATTGTTGAGCTGGATCCTTAAAAGCCCCAGGGGCAGCTAGAACAAGAGATTCATGGCATATGTGAAGTTGGCATTTCTTTTTTTTGTGTGGTTATCTTTTGAAACCATGTTTTCTATCAAGACCTCAATTTTTTGCTTTGCTAGAACTTTTCAGTTAAAAATTCTTTCACTTACAACTATCAAAAATACCTAAGTTCACTAGTGCATTTACTTTTTCTGATGTAATGAAGTTAAATAAAGCAATTTTACAGAATCTTTTTGTTTCTGCAACCTACGACAAGTCTGGGAATCCCAGGACCTCATGATATGATAAGATTAGGGACTGATGTTACCAAGTGCAAGGACAAATGGAGGCACCTTTTCTGACAGACATCGTTCTACATCCTTCTGGTAAGAGGCAGGGCATGGAGTGGCAATCAACAATGCTGTATCTGTATTACAGCAGGAGGAAAGTGAAGTAAGACCAATTTAGTTCCAGTTATTCCTTTCCTCCTCTTTAACGTATCAGCTTAGGTTCAAGAGAAAATAGCCAGCCCTTAAAGTATGAAACCAAGTGGTCCAGATTTTGATGCATGCCTGCGGGTCAGGATCTTAGGGGGTTCCAGCTGATTCTTTCTCTATAGACAGTGATGTGAACGGCCTTGATCCTTTGTGATGGCAGCTCGAGCATGAACAGGCAGTCACTATTATACTGGGAACACACAGATTTGCACTTACACAGAAGTGGAACGCAAAAAGCGGCTAAAGTCCAAGTTCATTTTTACTCAAATTTGGTTTAAAAAACAAGAGCATTGCACCCATTTAGGATGTTAAACTTCACAGTTCAAAAGACCGGCATTATTAACCACCACAGTCAGCAGCATTTCATTATGATAAAATCATAAGAATATAAGAACAGGTATTGTATTGTATTATATTATAATAAAATAATTATGTTCCAAGGGTACAGTTGCTAGCATTCAGGCTATCTATGATACAGTGTAAATCAATAATACTATCAGGTGTGCAAATTTGCTATAACGGACTGTACTGTTTTCAAAGAGCAGTTGTCAATTTTTTTTCCTTTTCCTTTCAGCTTCAGATGAATATTGGTCATGAATACATCCTCTTTGGTTGTAAGTTTTGCATAGAAGCACAGTAGCAAAATCATAAAAATAGCATAGCTATTTGTTTTTGTTTCTCTTAACAGGTTTTCTTATTTTTAACTTTTCATCTCAGGGCTACCTTATCCACAAATTAAGGCTCTCACACAGCTCAGCATATTAATTTATTCCTGTCTTATTCTGTATTAAACTGTATCAAATCATGGCACGCACAAACCTATTGCTTAAAAAGTAAAAAAAGAAAAAAGTCCCAAAGATGAAATGTAAAACGCTCTAGATGATGTTTCAACATTCAATGCATGCAAAAATACAGTGAACTTGTTCAATCTTGCTACAAAAATAGGAAAAAAAACCCTCAGCAAGTGGGATGCAATACTCGCATATAATGGATGATTTCACTCATGACCCAAATTTGGAATAAAAAAGATATTTCTAAAATTCTTTTACAGGTTTCCTGAAGAAACACTGTGACCATGTTCATTGGTATCATTTGATCAGTGCTGTAGGTAACCATTTCTATTGACTATTTGAAAGTTTGGAAGCCAAACTGATATAGCTTCTGTCAATAAATCAGGTATAGTTTATGCAGAGATCTTAATAGAGGTCTGAAGCAACAGTGGCATCTGCTAATCCATACACTTGACCTAACCCTTTCTTGCAAATAAGTATTTTCCTTCATTCTTGTGTTTTTCATTACATCCATATCATTTCAGATAGATGCTTCTCCAGGCAGAAATATAAAATCTCTCGTGCAGCTGTTGCCAGGCCATTGCATTGGGATAGGGTGTGCTGACTGACTCCTTGGCTTTACAAAGTGGAATTCAGAGTGGGATAAAGAGAGAGCGGAAATGTTAAATTGTATGGAGGTGAATGCACTGAGCATTAAATGGTCTTTGCTTCTTCCTGGAGATGTGCCCTTCTGCTTCAGGCCTTTCTCAAGCTATTTCTCCTCCTGAGACTTGCAGGAGCATCAACTGCTACCAATACTCTCAAAAGACAAGTGAAACAAGATAAAAGTCTTTCCAGAATTCACAGACAGCTAGATAAGAAAATCTAGGAATTAGATATTTTAGAGTCAAATTACTGATGTAAAACTGAAATAGATGTTGGAATTTCTGTTAGGAAATTCTATTTTCCTCCTACTGAAGAAAGAAAAAGTGGAGAGAATTGTAGCGTGTGAGAAATTTTTGTCTTGTCTTTGACTGACAGGGCTGTTTCTATTTCTGTCCTGCAGAAGATTAAAGCACGTGCATAGAGAGGATGTGTGGACTTCAGCACAAAGAAGAGACTCCCAGTGGGTACGTGACTTGCCTCTAAAAGTTATTTAGTGTGCAAATACAAAGATTCTTCCTTTCAAATAGTAGAGAAACTTGGCTGAATATGTTCAGCTGGTTTCACTCCATTTCTTGCAACTCTATCATCAGACCTGGCTGATGTAGTAAGTTTTCAGCTCCCTCTGAAGGGACTGAAAGGGTCCTCCATTTGTAAGGGCTCTAGAAGTGTACCTGTAAGTCATACCTATCATGTATCTGTTTTCTCTGTTAAGACACACAAGGCAGACTGATTTGACTATAAAGGTCCAGGATGACCTGTGGGAAGGTAGGGATATAATTATATGTGACTTCATATCATAAACAGACACAATTAGTACAGAACTCTACAAGGCCTACATCTTTTATCTTTGTAAAAGTAGAACTGTGATTTAAAGTTAAATCTTCATACACTGAATGGCAGATAAAGGCTCTTTCAGCGGCATCAAATAATAAAGATAAAAATATTGTTCTTTCACATAGTATTTTCTCTCTTGTCAAAACAGGACTCATAAATCACATGAAATTTAGCAAGCTAAGACACTTAAAACACAGCACTTTGTGAAAATCAAAATAACTCCTGTCTTGATATTTATAGAGTTTTCATAATCACACTATCTCATAATTAAAGTATCACCCAAGCTACCTATCACTAAAAACTGTGAACCTTTTCTGCTATTTATAGGCTGTGCAACAGAATCATCCTGAAAGGATTCCAGGGCTGTTCAAGGCCAGTTCCACCAAAAACTTTTAAATCAGTTTTACACTCTCTTTATGATTGTTTCTGCTTATCTGTGTGTTTCTCTATCGAAGCCATAAATTTCCTAAGAATTCGCTACCAAAGCAGAATTCTAGAAACAAAATGTGCTATGCATTGGTTCATGCTGTCAGTTTTAAATCTGAAGAACCTTAGAGAAAATGTGGTGTGTTGCTGTACTCGGTTTCTATACTTCTTCACTTTTTTAAAGTTTGCAAAGTATGCAATCTATTATGTATACAGAAGTTTCTATAGGTATTATATATTGCTTATAATCAAGACAACATACTATGTTTCAGCTTCAATATAAACGTTCCTTTGATAAAAATTCAGTTATATCAAAGGAATAAATTTTGATGTAAATTAAAAGAAAACAATGAAAGGTTAGTAACCATTGAGGATGACGGATTCTGTCCTGTACCATAGAGGACAGTGGGCACTTTGCTAATGACTGAGAGAGCAGTGAATAGAAGCCGAGATTTTCACACTATTTATGTATACCCTGCCACATCCACTGTACAACCGTATTATATGATCAGCCATAATGTTACATTTATTGCCAATTTTATTAATTTAATTCTAAAAATAATATTAGTGTAAAATTCCTCCTTATATAAAGCGGGAGGACCAGTGTGCCAAGGCACACAAGGGTAAATGTGTTCTAAGAACATACATTAGCTAAATCAACTTTTTATAACTAGAAGATATTAAATATTTATTTACTAACTTTCTGGAAGGTAGAATGTATACGTGTCACTGGCATCAAACATTTTCTGCTCTGGTTGTACACCTAGTCCTTTTAGCAACGCTCAATGGTTTAACTAGAATGACATTTTCCCACATGGCTGCAAATCAACAGACCGAAGTAACAAACTGTATTACCCACCGTACAGAAATGAAGTGAACATGATAATGGTGGCATATCAATGGGATTGATATTAGACTCACTTTTTTATTGATGTAATATGGGTCCATGTCTTCCAAGGGCTCAGACACCATTCCTGGAGGTATGTCACCGTATATAAACGGAAGTGTTTTTCCTGCCTCCAAATCACTGTTTGGCTTTGGCCCATTTTCATCATCATTGTCTTTACGATCTTGTTTAGGATTCTTAGCTTTTTCTGCAGCAATGCGTTGTTCAATAGCTGCAAGAGACTCTCTAGTGAAGTATTGGAAGCTGTCTGGTCCTGGTGGTACAAGCACTGACTGCTCCATCTTTTCATCCTGCACATTTTAATTACCATTTATTCTTCTGCATAGGAAAATACTAAAAGAAAGCAGAAAATAAAATTCAAACAAGCCTGTTAAAGTCACCAAGTAAGAAAAATATAACAGTTATTTTTAAAGGCTTTTGTTTATGCTATTTTGGAATTTTCAAATACACAATAATGAAAACTATGTAAAGAAAAATAAAATAAGCAGTTTAGTTGGTGATTTGACCTTTGTAAGAAGCACTTATATGGTTCTTATGTTAGTTATATGAATCACAATAATTTCTCAACTTTACTTACTCTCAATTGTTTTTACTCCAAATAAGCAAAAGCATGATGCTTAGGAACAATAAGATACATTCTTCCCTCATAACTCTAATTATCTTAAAATCACCTCACACTCCTCTGGAATCAATCAGGATTATACTGGTAATTTTAAATAGCACAGTTCATCAGACCTAATGCAGAAATTTCCACTGAGCTCAGCAAGAGTATCAGAAAACAAGCACTGCAGAATGAGAATTTCTATTAAACAAATAAAAATCAACTCTGTGTATTATGAGGTAGTAAAGCATTGGTTCCAAGTAAGTTTTTGTACAGGTATTTATTCTAGATAATAAAAAGACCAATTGCCTATTTTTATTTCAATTTAACTGTTACTCTGAATCTGGTTCTTTATTCAATAACTGTAACTGGGTAATTCTGGAAGTATTCTAACATACATATTTATTTACATATTGCAACTAAGAAAATGTCCCCCTTATACCCACCCCCACCCAAAAAAACCCCAAACCCAAAACACTCCAGTTAAAACTAGAAATCTGGCATCTTTTGTGCTGCTTAATAATTTTCTGATGGTATCAGACATACAGATGAAATGTGTATTTGGGCACACAATGGCACATATATCCCTCATGCCTGAATGTAAACGGATGTTTACAGTCTCCACCCACTGCCGGGGTCCTTGCAAAATGATCAGTCAGCCTTTCAGGAGACTTAAGGGTCAATGCAGGTCAGTACTCATTGAAATAAGCTAGAGATATGGAATGACAGAGAAGAATACAAGAGACGGTTGGAGGAAAACACCAAAACAAATTAAAAAGTGACAACCCCCCCCAGGAATTATGGAAAGAAGCTGAAAAAGATGAGGAAAGTAGCATAAAAAATGTGAACAAGAGGAGACCATAAATGAACGTACAAAGAATTAGGGGAGAAAGTGAAGAATGTGAAAAGAACAAAAAAAAAGGAAGACTGGAAGATTAGCAGTATAAAAATGCAGAGATGAAAACAAAGAAAAAGAAAAGTAGGTGGAAGAACAGAATACTGGGAAAGGAGCAGCAAGGAAAGCAAATACAGATAGGGTTAAACTTTCCGTTAAGGAAAAGTCAATAAGGAGAGTAAGAAATTAGGTGAGAAATAAAGGGAGAAGAAAGAAAAACATAGCTGGGAAATGAAAGAGAAAGTCACTAAAATGTATTAAGTAATAAACCCCAAATCCTCTAGGTCATTAATGCCAGGGTGAGCACAGACATCTTAAGTGCACATATGTATTGAGTAGTGGAATACAGCCAATAAAATAAGAAAGAGGGGTCAAAGTGCTTATGGGCTCTATTACCCCAGTTTTCTTGATTTCTCAGAAAAATAAAAAAAAACATATTTCACCTGGATGTATAGCATCACCACCCATAATCAGAGGAATGACTTCTAAAGAATCAAGGTAGAAGATTTCTCACTGTAAAAAACTAAAGGAAGATAACCTCCTACCAAAACACAAACTACTGACCCATGCAGGGGTCAAGAAAGTATTGCTTTCTTTCTAATCCTGAAAGGAATTGGAATCATCCTGTTCTCTCTCTATTAGAGGGAAAAAGCATATAAGAAAATGTATCTCAACCAACAAGGACTTAAAATCTTCTCTTCCTCCACATAGAGAGCATCCTCCAGACATCCCCCTGCTCCCCATTTCAAGGTTCTGTTTACTGCTAGGAATTGACTCTTCAGTCTTAACTACTGAACAGTTATAAATTCACAGTTTGTGCACTGTCATTATTTCTTAATGTTCAATCACACCTTGTGGATACTGGGAAAGCAGAAAAAACTATTAGCCACACCACTGTCCTTGCTGATCCCCAAAGCGATCCCCGTATGTGGCACCATAATTTGGGAAACAGATCTCATACTAAGCCACTATTCAAATAGCTGCAGGTGGATACTACTTGCTCTGTGGTCTTCAGGGAGATACAGAGCCTCAAGAGAGACAGTCAGGCTCTCTTCTCTGCTCAGTTTATTTGGCAAAGGAAGGGATGCGACCTTCTCTTCTCTTCTGTCCCTTCTCTCTCAGCACAGGCATAATCCCCATGGGAACGAGAAAATGAGGTTACGCAGCCATCTCTGCCTTTCCCTCTCTTCCTCCTTGTGAGACACAGGAGGTTGGTTTTCCCCTTTGCCATTTTCCCTTTGAAAACTCCCTTCATTGTCCGAAAAGCCCTCTGTACACAGCAGTCGGTGTTCCCTGCCATGGTGGCCAGCGAGGGCACGGCAAGCCAAACGAGTTGAGGCACAGCGGGAGGGAGGTGCTGGGCAATCTCATGTTTTGAAGAGGAAGGGAATGGACAGCCAGCGAGCGGTCAGCAAAGATGAGCTCTGAAACCCTATGGTGCTCTGTCAGGATCACCTTTTAGTTCAGCTGAGTGTCCTGAACCGACATGCAGAACAAGGAGGTAAGCCTGCAGGATTTGCCTGCAGGTGCACAGAAACAAGCTACTTCATAGCCATTAGTTAGGTTGCAAAAACATTTGATTCAGCTACTGTGTTTACATACTGAGCTTAAAACCAGCAAATGCTGTGGGTTTTTCTAATAATGCCTGTATTTTTTCTGTAGAAAGGAACATTACGTTATTTGTCTATAATTAATCCTAGAATGTTCTCAGGTCTGTTCAAAGGTACATGGAGCAAGCCAGATAGATACGTTGAAAGGTATGTAAATCTATATAGGCTGTACTTAACAAAATGTTTCAGGAGACTTTATGAAGATTAAATACTTCTTATCCTCTACTTAACAGATTAGAGGGTGATATTCCAGATACATTTTCCTTTTCTTCAGGCATTTCCATGATTGTAAGTCTTCAGAATCGCAAATAGAAGTCTTCTACAAATTTAAAAGTCAATATTAAACACATCCGGAATTCAATATACTCTTAAGCCCAAATCACTTTCATCTGTTATATCACAGTGGTTAACTGAAAGGTTTGTATTTCCTTTATTTTAGTCGATGAATTTATTCTCACTTGTCTGTGTAGGGGATGGATACTGATTGATACCAGGCCAGTTAATCAACTGATATCCTTCTGTTTTCTATCAAGTGATTTATTAAATATTAATTGAATAACTACAGATTGCTTGCATGATCCAAATAGACTTTTTTTTTTTTTTCTTTAGCACAGCACTGGTAATTCAACAAAGGAAAGAATATAAGAATACACAAAATACAGATTTCTTAGTAAGTTCTTTCCTACTCTCCTTCTGGAGTGAACGATATTTTTTTTTTCCTTATTCATCTCCAATTGGGTTTGACTGACTTTCTTATGAGCAGTGTATCAGTAGGCAAAAAAATTCAAATTTTGGAAAATAAGGTACTCAGAACATTTAAGAATAGAATCATTTTGTTTCTTCTGAAATTTCCCAGGCAAAATATATTTGTATATACTTTGTAGTATACATTGTTATAAGCCAGGTAAGTCCAGAGCACACTCAATATACTCTGTGTGCATGGACCATCTGTAAACCACATGCAGAATAAATTTGAAGTTATTCAGCTGCATCTGTGTAACTGCACAATGCACAGTTGATCTGCCCATATATATTAAGTCTGAAGCATCCAGAACTACATTATTAGCTACGCCAAACTACTGTTAGCTATAGACAACACTGACCATCTGGGCAATACACATGCCATTGATTCAGCACTTCTCTGATGAATGTGACCTACGGTACACCTTGCATAGTTGTAGATCTACACATACTTAGAGAATAACTCAAGCTGTCAAATATCCACAGAATTTCTGCAAATTTCTAGAATTTCTTCATATTTCACATAAATAAATCTTTTAGGCAAAATAAAGGGATATGTTGGCAAATAGAGAGATAGAGCCTTGTCTAACAGTGACTCCAAACCAGTTGCACACTAGCCTTTGAAGAAGTCAATTAGATGATATACACCTCTCTCAGAAAGAGATAGGTTTGAACAACAAGGTTATTTCCTAACTTGCTAAGCATCTCGTTTGCTGTTAGTTTTCATATTCTTCATGCCTTCAAAACAAATAGTGACAAGAGTTGCTGGAGAGTCTGGTCAGGAGGACCTTAGCATACATGTAGCATACAGTACTGCAAATACCTAAACTGTAGCAAGCTAATTTCTTTATGTTATCCATATGCTTAAATCTAAACCAGTAACATGCTTTGATGTTTGATCTTCTGTGACAACACCCATGAATTAAAATTTAGCTTCCATTTGCCACAGAATAAAATGAATGTTGAGATGCTGAAGTTCCATTAGACCCTATGTGCTACAAATTTGATCATAACTGGTCAATTCCAACAATGCTTCTCTGGTTCAGCTTTATACTTTCATCTACACAAACACCTATATAAAGGTTTCCATGACCACCTTTATATCTGAATGCCAAAATCAAACCTGGTGGCACTGCTTTTTCCTGCCTCTCCCTCCATCCTTCAGGTGCCAGGAGTCACAGCAACTTTTAATATTAGTCAGCATTTAATTTTACTTATTTAGCATAGCAATATGATTAACTTAAAAAAGCTATAGCTTTTATAGCAGATTTGCCATACAGCAATGTGCCATGTTTTCTAGAACATACTACACAGATATTCAGTTTCTTCTATGGTTACCCCTGCAGGTGCTGAGTGATGCGAACATGTTTCTAATGTACAGGCATGGTGAGTAGACCAGAATGGTATTTTTGCTCTTCTGTCAGCCTCGTCATG